CTCCTGCCTCAGCCTCCCGAGTAACTGGGATTACAGGCACCCACCACAATACCTGGCTAATTTTTGTATTTTTAGTAGAGACAGGGTTTCACCATATTGGTCAGGCTGGTCTTGAACTCCTGACCTTGTGATTCATCTGCCTTGGCCTCCCAAGGTGCTGGGATTATAGACGTAAGCCACCACGCCAGGCCACATTCCACATTCTATCATAGCATTCTTTGCACACAACCTTAATGCCTTTGCCATCCCCTTCCTTGTTGCCATTGGCTGGTATCACCCCAAATGGGGTTAAATCCTACCATCTACCTACTCTATAACCCCACACAGCTGCTGAACGTCGTGAGAGGGAAAAACCCTACCCTACTATGCTCATAGGATTAGTTTTAAAGCCATAAACACTACCTTCAAGTGAGTCCTTAAGTGCCACTTGGCATCCTGTTACATTTCCCCGATCTGTCCCCTCAAAGACGACTCCACATGGCCTCCTACCCCCTCACTCTCAGATGATGGATGAAGTTGCTTTAGCTTCACTGAGGAAATAGACAAAATCAGAGGAGACCTTGTGCCTGTGCCCACCACCATGCCTACTGCTTTGTACCAGCACTCTCTGCCCTTCCTCCTGTAACTGTGGTTAAGCCATCCATGATCCAAGCTAGGGCCAACTTCCTCTACTTCAACACCTTCTATATACCAACAGTGCCCAAATTCGCACTTCCATCCAGGTATCTTCTGTGAGCTTCAGGCCAGTAGAACCAAGGGACTATATGAGATCTGTATATAGGTGTCTAATACGTCTCACAGTCAGCATGTTTCAGGTTGAACTCTTGGTTCCTGACACCTCCTCATACATCTAGTTATCTCTTCAAAGTACATCCAGGATCCACATTTTACCACTTCCACTGACACTGACCTGATCCAGCTGCCATCACCTTCCACTGAGATTACTGCAATAGCCTTCCAATTGGCATCCTTGCTCCCATGTTTGCTCGACTTACCCAGAAAACAGAAAGGTAAGTCAGGTCACTCTACTCAAACAAACCCTCCAGTGGTATGACCAAGTAGAAGTCAAAATCTGGACCTTACTCTACTACTCTCCTTGCTCATTCAACTTTGTCCCACTGGCCTCCATCCTTCTACCTCTGGGCCTTAGCACTTGCTGTTTCTTCTGCTTAAAACCCTACTCCTCACATACCAACTGGGCTCATTCTCTTATTTCATTCAAGTCTCTGCCCAAGGTTATTTCAGAGAGGACTTCCCTGCCCATTCTGTATAAGCAGAATAGCATCCTCTACCCCTCTTAATATTCTCCCCCTACTTTGTCTTTCTATATGCTACTAAATCAATGCTTACTCAATAAAATATCTGCTTGCCTACCAGAATATAAACTCCACAGGGGTGGCGACTTTGCCTTTTTTGTTCAGTGCTATATCCCTAGAGCCTAGAATGGTGTCTTACATGTAATAGCTTGTGGAATGAATGCGGTCAAATTCATAATATAAACAGGTTTTTAAAAAATTATCTACAGCAGGCTGGGTGGGGTGGCTCACACCTGTAATCCCAGCACTTTGGAAGGCCGATAGCCAGAGGTCAGGAGTTTAAGACCAGCCTGGCCAACATGGTGAAACCCTGTCTCTACTAAAAATACAAAGAATTAGCTGGGCTTGGTGGTGAGCACCTGTCATCTTAGCTACTCAGGAGGCTGAGGCAGGAGAATCGCTTGAACCCAGGAGGCAGAGGTTGCAGTGTGCCAAGATCATGCCACTGGACTCTAGCCTGGACAATAACAGCAAAACTCTGTCTCTAAATAAATAAATAAATCTATAGCTAACAGAATTCCTATAAAAACATAAAGCATTCAATACTTATTTACTTATGAGCCACAATTACTAAATTGGGATCACAGTAAAGATCTCCCTTCAATTAATAAAAAAATTGAATAAAAATCATGTAGAAGTACATATAAAAATCATAGGACGCACATGTACATGTATGACTAATCCATTAATTTCAGGATTCAACATGCATATTCCCTTAGATCCTCAAGATTAAAAATCTTCTGTAACATGTATTTAGATTAACTGCATACAATTTGGAGAATATCCTTTCCTCCCTCCAGCCCCCATTTATTAAAAACAAAAAACAACAAAAAAAAGCTAAGGGTCCTAGGAATTTTAATTCTCTAGTGTGCAATACAGCTTTCTCGAATCTTCTGTGAGTGTACTGTGGGTTCATCTCAACAGGAGATGCCAAGGTGAAGAACTGA